ATCCTCTCCTCTGGAATAATCTCCCTCCTGAGATCCATGCAGCCCCCACTTAGGGCACTAACACTTGTTTTTCTCTTGTTTTCCCTTATTTATTTTTGTTCTATTTTTGTATTGTGCATGTTATAATTATGATTTATGTAACTCTTTGTTTTATTTTATTGTTTATATTCATTGTAAGCTGCCTAGAGTGGCCTTTTTGGCTAGATGGGCAGGGTATAAATCAAATAAATCAAATAAAAAATAAATAAATACTTATGCTTGTTTTATCTGCACTTACATCAAATTCATTTCCTGAGGCTTAGCCTTCAGCCTACCTCTTGATCTGGTCAATGACAGAGATAGTCCTCTACAATGTAAGAACAGCCCTGGTAAACCAAACCTAGGCCCTTCTAGCCGAGCCTCTAGCCCAGTGGTTCTTAACCTGGGCGAGCCAAACCTGTGAAGATGGCTGCAGCCTTTTTACAATGTGCATGAATATATATTTTCCTCCTATCTTAATTTAGTTTCAGAGTTTTCGTCTTGAAATTTTTAGTTCCTGCATTTTATGCCCTTTTTATATTTCTTTTTGAGTCTTAAAATTCGCTTGCAACTAAATCATTAAATGTTACTTTTGGGGGGCATTTCATTTTCTTGGAATTGAATTTTGTTCTCAGGAGTCATTGGATTTAAGTGTCTTAAACAAACAAACAAACAAACAAATAAATAAATAAGATATAATAAGAAATAAGAGGGGGCCGATGATAACTACCTCAATGGCTCAAGGGGGCGTTTCTTTCAAAAAGGTTAAGAACCACTGCTCTAGCCCAGTATATATTTTACTAATAAGTTGGGGGAGAATTTCTATGACATTCACATTTTCTCTGCAACCTACATTTGAACTCATAAGCAATTTTAAACATGTTTGAGTGATCTAGCCTTGTTTATATATCTGTGGTACCACATCCCCAGAGTGTTTATCAGTTTTTTCTTTCATATCTTGAATAGCTATTTTTTTTATTGAGGGGAAAAGTCACACAATTGATATAATTAAACTTGTTTCCAAGTAGCAAACTGTAGGATTTTGCTCTGATGGCAGGATAACAGATAATATAATATTGGAATTAAAAAGGAAAATGTTTTGCTACTTTATCCATATTATATATTTTGATTTTTTGAACATTGTAATATTCGTTGGTGATTCAGTGAAGTGAAGAAAATGGTTTCTACTACATGTGATTCCAATTCTCTTAAAATCCATTTTCTGTCTTTGTACATATTTATAAATGGCAATATAAGTCACAAGTGACAAGTATAGTATTTAATTCTTATCTGGCATTCCTAAACCTCCTGTTATGTTTTCTTTATATATCCACGATTTTAAAATTCTGGGCCTTTTACTTAGAAATATGAGTTTTTGCAAATTTAATAAACTTTTCAAAGGAAGGATGATAGGAATAGCTTGGGAAAAATGTTGGAAATGTACTCATTTTAACTGAAGCTATTCCACCTACCTATAACAAATTTATTTTGGTCAAATTATTTTTATTATTCATCCAGAAAGAATTACTTTCATTTTCTCAATTTATTTAGGTTTTTAAAAAAATTATTATAACCCCTACATATTTAATAATTTTCACATATTAATTTAATCCTATAATATTGCTTAATAGGTTTTTGTCTCCAAGCTACATATTCATGCAAAGTACCTCCAGTTTGGTACAGTGGACCCTTGACTTACAGACGGCTTGACTTACAGACTTTTTGAGTTACAGACTTCTCTGGCCGCAAAATTTAGGTTTGACTTGCAGACTGAGATTTGACTTACAGACCAGAAAAAAACCAAAATGGAACAAAAACGGCCTGTTACGGGATTAATCGGTTTTCAATGCACTGTAGGTCAATGGAGACTTGACTTACAGACTTTTTGACTTGAGAACCGCCTTCCAATACAGATTAAGTTCTCAAGTCAAGACCCCACTGTATCATTAATTTGCTATTGCTGCATATATTTTTATTTCTGTTATAATTTCTTCCTTATTTGGATGAGATGTTACAAAAGCTTATCAGCCAGCAAGACTAATTTTTGCTGTTCTTGAAAAACACTTCAATTTAATGTTTTCTGCCTCAAAATATAACCTTGACATTGAAATCTATATTGAGTAAGCCCAATCCTGGGTGCATGCTGACTGGAGGATTCTGAGAATTGTAGCCCCAAAAAGTTTTTTTTCAAGTTTTAATAGTCCACAGTGTTTTTTGATGAACATTAAACTTCTTTAATAGCCTGTGTAATTTGATCTTTAAAATATCTTTTGGCAGCTTGTACACCAGGATATTATGGTCCCCAATGCAGCATAAAGTGTACCTGTAATGGGACTGAAAACTGTAATCCATTAAGTGGACAGTGTGCAGAAAATGAGCAATGTAATGAAGATTACTTAACAACAGATTGTGAAGGAGGTACACAGTTTACAGTTCTCTTAGTTAATTGTTATTCCCCTTCCCACATTCATCTGCAATTAAGAGAAAAACATGAATCCATTGAATGGATTTGTAAGAAAGCAAAGAAGAAGAAGAAGCAGTACAAGAAGCAGCATTGTGAGCAGCTATTTCAGAGTTTTGAATTTCTGGTAAAATTCTCTTTTTGCCACAGAGCAGAAATACAAAGATTCACAGAAGACGATGGCTTCATGTTTCCCACAGTCCACCTCCTTCTCATTAACTGGTACTTAAAGTCTCAGTAACTCACTCTGAGACATTTGTAGAAAAAGAAATTTAAAAAGTTTCTTTACTTACATTTGCTTGAACTTACAGGCTTGTATACTGTTTATTGCTTTCTTCACTGCATACATATTAGCAGTCAATGAAATCGATCAACAGCAAACAAACACCTGCTATCAACTGACAAAGAGAAGGGTAGAACACTCAGCAAAGAGGCGGATATCTCTTAAATTCAAAAGCTGAAAGGAATTATTGGATAGTGCTAGATAGACAGACAATCTCCCTAGTCCAGAAAATTCCCTCACAAACACTCAAACTACAGACAATATGCCAGGTTGGAAATAAAGCTCTAACAATATATTCGCGAAGGCTTTCGTGGCCAGGATCTAATGGTTGTTCTGGGTTTTTCGGGCTCTTTGGCCATGTTCTGAAGGTTGTTCTTCCTGACGTTTCGCCAGTCTCTGTGGCTGGCATCTTCAGAG